GACATTGCTGTGACCAGGCGACATTGCTGTGACCAGGCGACATTGTTGTGACCAGGCGACATTGTTGTGACCAGGCGACATTGCTGTGACCAGGCGACATTGCTGTGACCAGGCGACATTGTTGTGACCAAGCGACATTGCTGTGACCAGGCGACATTGTTGTGACCAGGCGACATTGCTGTGACCAGGCGACATTGTTGTGACCAGGCGACATTGTTGTGACCAGGCGACATTGTTGTGACCAGGCGACATTGCTGTGACCAGGCGACATTGCTGTGACCAGGCGACATTGCTGTGACCAGGCGACATTGTTGTGACCAAGCGACATTGTTGTGACCAGGCGACATTGTTGTGACCAGGCGACATTGCTGTGACCAGGCGACATTGTTGTGACCAGGCGACATTGTTGTGACCAGGCGACATTGTTGTGACCAGGCGACATTGCTGTGACCAGGCGACATTTGCTGTGACCAGGCGACATTGCTGTGACCAGGCGACATTGTTGTGACCAGGCGACATTGTTGTGACCAGGCGACATTGCTGTGACCAAGCAACATTGTTGTGACCAGGCGACATTGTTGTGACCAGGCGACATTGCTGAGACCAGGCGACATTGCTGTGACCAGGCGACATTGTTGTGACCAGGCGACATTGTTGTGACCAGGCGACATTGCTGAGACCAGGCGACATTGTTGTGACCAAGCGACATTGTTGTGACCAGGCGACATTGTTGTGACCAGGCGACATTGTTGTGACCAGGCGACATTGCTGTGACCAGGCGACATTGCTGTGACCAGGCGACATTGCTGTGACCAGGCGACATTGTTGTGACCAAGCGACATTGTTGTGACCAGGCGACATTGTTGTGACCAGGCGACATTGCTGTGACCAGGCGACATTGTTGTGACCAGGCGACATTGTTGTGACCAGGCGACATTGTTGTGACCAGGCGATATTGCTGTGACCAGGCGACATTTGCTGTGACCAGGCGACATTGCTGTGACCAGGCGACATTGTTGTGACCAGGCGACATTGCTGTGACCAAGCAACATTGTTGTGACCAGGCGACATTGTTGTGACCAGGCGACATTGCTGAGACCAGGCGACATTGCTGTGACCAGGCGACATTGTTGTGACCAGGCGACATTGTTGTGACCAGGCGACATTGCTGAGACCAGGCGACATTGTTGTGACCAAGCGACATTGTTGTGACCAGGCGACATTGTTGTGACCAGGCGACATTGTTGTGACCAGGCGACATTGTTGTGACCAGGCGACATTGCTGTGACCAGGCGACATTGTTGTGACCAGGCGACATTGCTGAGACCAGGCGACATTGCTGTGACCAGGCGACATTGCTGTGACCAGGCGACATTGCTGTGATCAAGCGACATTGTTGTGACCAGGCGACATTGCTGTGACCAGGCGACATTGTTGTGACCAGGCGACATTGTTGTGACCAGGCGACATTGCTGTGACCAGGCGACATTGCTGTGACCAGGCGACATTGCTGTGACCAGGCGACATTGTTGTGACCAGGCGACATTGTTGTGACCAGGCGACATTGCTGAGACCAGGCGACATTGTTGTGACCAAGCGACATTGTTGTGACCAGGCAACATTGTTGTGACCAGGCGACATTGTTGTGACCAGGCGACATTGCTGTGACCAGGCGACATTGCTGTGACCAGGCGACATTGTTGTGACCAGGCGACATTGCTGTGACCAGGCGACATTGCTGTGACCAGGCGACATTGTTGTGACCAAGCGACATTGCTGTGACCAGGCGACATTGTTGTGACCAGGCAACATTGCTGTGACCAGGCGACATTGCTGTGACCAGGCGACATTGTTGTGACCAGGCGACATTGCTGTGACCAGGCGACATTGCTGTGATCAAGCGACATTGTTGTGACCAGGCGAGATTGTTGTGACCAGGCGACATTGTTGTGACCAGGCGACATTGTTGTGACCAGGCAACATTGCTGTGATCAAGCGACATTGTTGTGACCAGGCGACATTGTTGTGACCAGGCGACATTGCTGTGACCAGGCGACATTTCTGAGAATTCCTCGGCTGAGCCATTTCTCGCTGCCCCGCGCATTAAGTGACAGCGCATGCCACCGTAGCGCTGGCAGTGAATGTGAACACCGCCGTGTATCCAGCAATCACAACCACTCCGTGCCATTACCAACAGCGCACGGCGGGTTCAGGGCGTCCGTGACCCACGATCACAACATTCTGAACATCTCCCACGTGCTAAATTACACAACACGGAGAGCGGTGGCGCAGTAGTTGGCGCACCCGGTCCCCTGTGAGCCAATCCCGAACACGGCTAACATTACGACTGGCGGAGCGTGTTACCCGAACCGATCAGCGTCGCCATCGCGCGCTGACCAGCGTGGTGAAGCACCAACAACAAACCTGCGTGGACGGCGTGGGGAGAAGGCTTCCATCCAGCAGTGGATTGACAAAGGGCTGCGGGTTTGCTATTGCATTGACGTGCCGACTTGGGACAAATTTCCCCGAGAGGGAATTCAACCGCGCCGCACGGAACTGCTGCGCGCACACGCACGCCTTGTGCGGAGATGATGCTCGTATGGACAAATACAATAATCGATAACGTCCCAATTACTCCGCCGTCGACAAAGATTTCTCCGCGTAGCCTACACAGACTGTTGGGGCAAGTGCTGTTGGCGAGTGGGCCAAACAGCACGCCCGTCCGCCTTTGGCTCCCCAATGCTGATGCTTGTTTTACACCGTACCGGGTATGGTACTCATTTAAGAATGAGTCGACCTCGGGGGGAAGCCCAGGATCGGTTCAAATATGCGCTACTGTTATTGGCCGTGAGCGCGAATCGGACTCGGGTCGCCGCTGGCTTGGTAGCGCAGCGCGCTTGAACCCCTCCGCTGAGGACTCTCACCGGTCACATCGGGCAGACACAGACGCGGGTTGGTTTGGTTGTTAACAAGGCGACACTGCTGCTGCTGCTGAAGAGACTCGCAACGTCTAAACAGCTGAAACGAAGCAATGCGACCAGCGACGCGATGATACCCGTCTCACCAAGAAGTCCCATTACCCCGGAGAGCACGACTGGGTCGTCTTGTTTCAGGAGGGCAGTGCAGCGGGACGCTTGGCCAGCGCCGTAATCGATTAGCCGTGGTGCAGCAGGACAAGGGGCCGATGCACTCTCACGGTGATCCCATCGTTGGTAATGAAACAAAACCTGATTGTAATTACTGAATACATAGAAATAGTATTATTGCGCTTACAGAATAGTTAATGACGTGTGAACATTTACGAACGGTTGGAACAACGCTTGTTGTCCTTCGGCCGCACCGCTGGTTAGCACGGTTGGCTACGTACGGCGCGAAAGAAGTTCAACACACATAGATCAACGTTACTGTGAAACTCGGGACAAATCCCCACCGATTCCATCTCCCCATTGGAATCTCGGACCCAGTGGTGAGGAAGTCGGCGTTCGCATGTGGGGTCTAGTCCGTGCATGGGAGAACCACTCTCATCTTTATCTCGTATTTATTTTAAGACATTGAAGGATCGCATTGTCAATCGCAATGTAAGGATATGGAGCCCTGCTGCAATGCGTATGAGAACACGTGATGTCAACGTGTGTACTGTGTGTGTGTAATATCCACGTGTGTAGTTGGTGTGTGTGTGATGTCCATGTGTGTACTGTGTGTGTGTGTGATGTCCACGTGTGTACTGTGTGTCTGTGATGTCCATGTGTGTACTGTGTGTGTGTAATATCCACGTGTGTAGTTGGTGTGTGTGTGATGTCCATGTGTGTACTGTGTGTGTGTGATGTCCACGTGTGTACTGTGTGTGTTGCGATGTCCATGTGTGTACTGTGTGTCTGTGATGTCCATGTGTGTACTGTGTATGTGTGATGTCCACGTGTGTACTGTGTGTGTGATGTCCATGTATGTACTGTGTGTGTGTGATGTCCATGTGTGTGCTTGGTGTGTGTGTGTGATGTCCATGTGTGTACTGTGTGTGTGTGATGTCCATGTGTGTGATGTCCATGTGTGTACTGTGTGTGTGTGATGTCCACGTGTGTACTGTGTGTGTGATGTCCACGTGTGTACTTGGTGTGTGTGATGTCCATGTGTGTACTGTGTGTGTGATGTCCATGTGTACTGTGTGTGTGATGTCCACGTGTGTACTGTGTGTGATGTCCATGTGTACTGTGTGTGTGATATCCACGTGTGTACTGTGTGTGTGATGTCCACGTGTGTACTGTGTGCGTGTGTTGTCCACGTGTGTACTGTGTGTGTGTGTGATGTCCACGTGTGTACTGTGTGTGTGATGTCCACGTGTGTTCTTGGTGTGTGTGATATCCACGTGTGTAGTTGGTGTGTGTGTGTGATGTCCACGTGTGTACTCGGGCTGTGTGTGATGTCCACGTGTGTACTTGGTGTGGGTGTGTTGTGATGCAGGCGTGTTTACGGAATATAACCAAACACACCACGAGCACGCGTGTACACTGCGGCGCTGCTCTGTGGGGTGTTCGACTCATGACAAATTGTCACAAGATCAAATCCCCGTGCAGGGCCGACTCAGCGTGCCACCCCTCCAGGGCTGCTACGTTGACGAGCATTGTGTGGAACGTCAATTGTGGTCGTCCACCGTAGAAATGTGGAATTTACACCACTGACCAAGGGCCGCCAACCGAGATGAGCGCCGGCCCTCTGCGGCATTTGGGCACGTGAGTAGTAAGTGTCGCCGCGACGTGCACGCGTGAGCCCTGCCTGCCACTCCTGAACCCTGCTTAGGGCGCGTGAACCCCACCCGGCACGTGCGAGAACCCTGCCTGCCACTCCTGAACCCTGCTTAGGGCGTGTGAACCATGCCCGGCACGCGTGAGAACCCTGCCTGGCACGCGCGTGAACCCTACCCGGCACGCGCGTGAACCCTACCCGGCACGCGTGAGCCCTACTTGAGGCGCGTGAACCCTCCCCGGCAGGCGCGTGAACCCTACCTGCCAAGAGCTGTGCCGGTGCGGGGGAGAGCACGCACATGTGGGTGAGCGTGAGCAGCGCCCACACCCAGCCGGCGCCGCGGCACCCGGCACACGCCATCGTGCTCCCTGTGGCAGCAGGGGCAGGGGCAGCAGGGGCAGCAGCAGCGGCAGTCTGCGTGGCCACGGACTGGCACAGCCTGGGTTATCGTCCCGCAGCTTCTCCTCCTCCCTCTTGTCGATTATGAAATCACCGCCGATGCCCGAGTGAGGAGGAGAGGCTTCTCATTGTCCGCGGGTCCGTGCCGGCGTGCTGGAGTGGCGCTTGCAGAGCCCTCGCGATCGGCTCACGCTCACGATGGCACAGGGAGACGCTCCAGGGTCGAGAGAGGAGGTCCCGGGGTCCGCGGGGAGGGATGCTCGCTGGGGCCCCCTGGGTCGCGGCGGCTGCGAGCGGCGCGCGGCGCGGATTGCGCCCCTCTGGGCACCGCGACTTTGTTTTGAAAAGTGCCGAGCGCGGAGGCGAGGCGGGGCCACGAAAATTCGGCGGACGCCGCTCAGCGAATCCGCCCGCGGGGGCGCCCGCCCGCCCCGCCGACCCCGGCGTAGGTCCTGGGGACCCGGCCCAGCCCCGCCGCGTGGCCCCTCTCCCCCCGCGGCCCCCACCCCCTGCCCCCCCCCGCGACGTCAAAATCTCTGCCGCCTCTGGCATTGCGCAACGCGCGGCGCCGCCGCTGTGCGCGAGGAGGAAGAGCGTCTCGCTCCCTGCGAGTGCCCGCGACTCCACCACTCACGCAGCGGTGCTGACCAGCGCCCTGGCTGGCGAGACGAAGTCGTCGCTCTCAGCCTGCCCGCCCCTTCGCCTCCTCGATAGGCGGCGGTGTGAGCCGTGATGGCGAGCGCGCATCCACCCGCCCGTCGATAGGAAACGAGTCGGCATATTGACTAACACACGTTGTGGTGCCGTACACAATGTGATAGCACGAAACGAGCGTGCACCCACGATGGCCTAACCGCTCTCACGTGCTCACGGGTGAGAGCGGTTAGAGAGGAATTGTTGAGCGCAATGAGACCCGGGGTCTAAGTGGGAGTGGGAGCAAGCACGTGGACCGTGTCCACGTGGACGGTGTCACAGTGGAGCAGGCGGTGTCAACCTTTAAAAGTGACGCTTTCTTATAAGACCTTGTGAGAACGACTCACAGACTTTATTGAATCCAATGCTTTATGGGGGAAGGGGGTGGGGGTCCCTCTACGCTATGTGGACATGGAGGGCTCTTTGACCATACTTCACCAGTCTTGATACTTCACCAATCTGGTCCGTGCGGATTGAAGAGAGATTGGCGGTGGCCCTTCTTCATAGCACATCGACTTATGTGTAAATAACGTGTAGTCGTTAATGTTGGTGATGATGTTGTTGATGATGATGATGTTGTTGATGATGATGTTGTCGATGATGATGTTGTTGATGTTGATGAGTAAGATGTTAAACTTTGATTTAAAGCATTCGTGACTGTAGGGATTCATATTCTTGGTTCTTTCGGTAAAGTCACGTAGAAGGGAAACATTAAAATAATTAATATATATAAAAATAAAATTCTCACGACGTTTCAACTGCAACACAAGCAGTCATCATCAGGTGTGAAAACCACAACAAGAAAATTTGTTTTTTATTGTTTCCCTTCTACGTGACTTTACCGAAAGAAGCAAGAATATGATTAAGATATTGTTGTTGTTGATGATGTTGATGATGATGTTGTTGATGATGATGTTGTTGATGATGATGATGTTGTCGATGATGATGTTGTCGATGATGATTTTGTTGATGTTGAGGATTAAGATGTTGTTGATGATGATGATGTTATTGATATTGTTGATGATGTTGTTGATGAAAATTATTTTATTGATGATGATGTTGTTGATGATGATGTTGATGATGATGTTGATGATGATGATGTTGTTGATGGTCATGATGTTGTTGATGATGATGCTGTCGATGATGATGTTGATGATGATGATGTTGTTGATGTTGTTGTTGATGATGATGTTGTTGATGTTGATGATGTTGTTGATGTTGATGATGATGTTGTTGATGATGATGATGATGTTGTTGATGTTGATGATGTTGTTGATGATGATGATGTTGTTGATGATGATGTTGTCGATGATGATGTCGATGATGACGTTGGTGATGATGATGTTGTTGATGTTGTTGTTGATGATGATGTTGTTGATGTTGATGATGATGTTGTTGATGATGATTTTGTTTATGTTGATGATGTTGTTGATGATGATGATGATGTTGTTGCTCTACGTTTTTTTCCCCGTTGGTTCCTCCTCGCGATGTCCGCCGGTAGCTGCCGCCGCTGTCGACAGGCCCAGGCTGTGGCCGTGTGCCGTGTAGCAGAGCCACGGCTCTCCCGGCTGAGATAATGAAGTCTCGTTTCATGGGGAAGGTTCATTGGCCATGACGGCGCCGACTCTACAGGACTCTACTGCTGTTTCCCTTCGAGGGCAGTGTCTTTGTTGTACCGCGTCTTGATATGTTCCTGTCATTGCGCGCTGTATACATCCTCATTGTAACGGCGTACATACTACACTACTTACTACACTACATACTACACTACTTACTACACTACATACTGCACTGCATACTACACTACATACTACACTGCACACTACACTGAATACTACACTACATACTACATTGAATACTACACTACGTACTACACTGCGTACTACACTGCATACTACACTGCATACTACACTACATACTGCACAGCTGTGTGTCACAGCGCCTACACACCAGCTGTGTGTCACAGCCCCTACACGCCGGCTGTGTGTCACAGCGCCTACACACCAGCTGTGTGTCACAGCCCCTACACGCCGGCTGTGTGTCACAGCGCCTACACACCAGCTGTGTGTCACAGGCCCTACACACCAGCTGTGTGTCACAGCGCCTACACACCAGCTGTGTGTCACAGCCCCTACACGCCGGCTGTGTGTCACAGCCCCTACACGCCGGCTGTGTGTCACAGCCCCTACACGCCGGCTGTGTGTCACAGCGCCTACACACCAGCTGTGTGTCACAGCGCCTACACACCAGCTGTGTGTCACAGCCCCTACACACCAGCTGTGTGTCACAGCGCCTACACACCAGCTGTGTGTCACAGCCCCTACACGCCGGCTGTGTGTCACAGCCCCTACACGCCGGCTGTGTGTCACAGGCCCTACACACCAGCTGTGTGTCACAGCGCCTACACACCAGCTGTGTGTCACAGCCCCTACACGCCAGCTGTGTGTCACAGCGCCTACACACCAGCTGTGTGTCACAGCCCCTACACGCCGGCTGTGTGTCACAGCCCCTACACGCCGGCTGTGTGTCACAGCGCCTACACACCAGCTGTGTGTCACAGCCCCTACACGCCGGCTGTGTGTCACAGCGCCTACACACCAGCTGTGTGTCACAGCCCCTACACACCGGCTGTGTGGCACAGCGCCTACACACCAGCTGTGTGCCCGTGCTGCTCGACACGTGTTTACGGCTGCGGAGTGGCAGCCAAGGAACAGACCGCGTTGGAGGGGTCACGGACCAAGGAGATGGAGCTTTGGAATCAGCAACCTGGTGGATTATTACATCGCAGGATCACGAGAGATGGCAACAGCTCGTGGAGGCCGTCATCCAGCAGTGGATTGATCACGGATGACGATGATGAGTGGGAAACGGGACTTTACAATCGAGGACTGAAGTTTCGTCTCAGCGTGTCCGAGTCGGGATGAAGCCTCCTCGGCACGCAACCCCTGGGCACGGGGAGAGGGCCGCATGCGGTGCTCGGCTGCGTCTCGCGGTGACCGCGTGGGGGCGCCGACACCGGCACGCAGTGGTCAGCGCACCGCGCTATGGAAACGGCTACCCGAATTGGACTCTCGACCAGGGCGAACATCAGCGGTGAGCGACATCTCCGCTTGTTCTGGCCACGCTTTCGTCAACTCCCGCTGACCAGCGCGGTGAAGTATGGTCAGACAACCGCCGTGACCCAGACGCCGTGGGGAGGGCTTCACCCATGAGTGGATTGCCACCAGAGTTCGACAAGACACGGGGGACCAGGGGCTCAGTTCAGTCGCCAACTCGCGACTCCCGACGTCAATCCACTCACGAGGACGCGCGGTGGTTACTTAACACGAATGGTTTATTAAAAAATAACGATTTGGTTACAAAACATATTTGTTTGAAAACCAAACTATGCACGGATACGCTCGTTGCAGAAAACACGTTGGCCGTTTACATTTGACGAGGTAATTGCACGTCAACATCACAATACATACACGTACGGATCCTACAGAAACGTTACGTAGCCGGTCATTCTAAATGTAAAGTATCACGAATTAAAAAAATCCCTGAATAACGATATTGGAGACTAAACATTGCAAGAAAAAAGCGACGCTTTAACACAGAAATGCTGCAATTTTTTACATTGAAAGATAGACATGGTTTTAGTATGTTATCTAAAAGCAACATTTAAGCGAATGTAAGACCAAACAAATGGATAATTACTGGGTTTAATCAAAGCAAAAGTGGCACGAGCATCAACGCGTGCGGCAGCAGCTGCGGCCGCACGCGCAGCGGAGAGGGGCGAACCCACGTGGCCCCACCGCGTGGCCCACGGGCCCCGCCACGTGGCCCCACCACGTGGCCCACAGGCTCCGACTCACAAACAGCAGCAGCAGCAGGGAGCCACCTCTCGACCTCCCGCCAACACAGACGACGCTCTTGACGCGTGCTCATAACAGGTCCCGTGACAATCAGAGAGCGACGACAAAACACCGCACGCGTTCTCAAGGTTTCAGCATTAACCGGCTTTGGCGACGGGCCACTTAGGCCACCAAATAATTGCTCTAACGTCATGTTAAAGGTTTGGCTACGCCTTAGCTGTAAATTCACCGCCGTTTCATTTGCGACCCAGCTCCCGTCAGTGGACGGACCTGCCGCGTGCGACTGTGATGACACGCGCGGCTTCTCAGAGCGGTGCGCGTGGAGGTTTCGCGCTCCGCGCGCTGTCGACGCATCCCGCGCTGGTTCGAGGATGAAGACGCTGGCGCATTCCTGCGTGGAGGCGGCAGCGAGAGCGCCGGGGTTGCCATCTCTCCCGCGTGGGGGGGGGGCTCTGGTAATTGGATACAGTGGCGGATTTAATGCGAAGGGGAAGAGGGCTGCTCTTAAGTCGTAAAACAGTGGAAGCATTGCCTCGTGCATACATTGTTTGGAATGAAAGTAAACAAAGACTCCTTAGACTGTAAGTGTGCGTCCGAGTGAGAGCGTGGTTCATACGCGCTGCGATTTTGATCAAGGGCAGGATCAGAGAACGTGGCAGAGTTAAATTTCTGTCACCTTCAAATCACTTCCGATTTTATTTGCATGTCACAGCCCTTAAATGGACGTTTTAAACCGCAGTAAAACGCTCCATGAGAGTGGGTAGGCTGTATGAACGCGCGGTGA